CCATTCCTAGATATTTTGCTTGGACATGGCCTAAACGGTAAAATAACACACAGCGTTTACAGAAAGCAAACGCACACTGATGCCTATCTGAATGCAGAATCACATCATCATCCAGCTCAAAAATCCTCTCTTATTAAGACGCTCGTGCATCGGGCGAAAACAGTGTCAGATGGTGAGAGTCTAGTGAGAGAGATTAAACACGTTAAAGACGCACTACGACAGAATGGCTACAATAATGCTAAAATTAACAGAGCACTGAATGCCAAATCACGATCGCAAAGCAATACTACTGAAAGCGACCAGATTGTTAAAACAATAAAAATTCCATATATCTCAGGAGTAACTGACAAATTAGCCCGCGTTTTGCAAAAGCAAAACATTACAGTAAGATTTGGTACAGTACACAAAATTCAAAAACTAGTATCTTGCACTAAAGACGCATTACCTAAACTATCAACAGAATGTGTATATCGGATTAATTGTTCATGTGGCAGCTGCTACATTGGGCAGACGGGACGTAACATCAGCGTAAGACTAAAAGAACATCAGAGAAATATTAAATTATCTCAAACACAACTGTCGGCAGTGGCAGAACATGCTTGTCAACAAGGACACTCAATTGATTTTGACAATGTTGCAGTGGTGTGTAAAACTAATTATTACTGGCAAAGACTAATTAGAGAATCCATTGAAATTGAGAGGAACAAGAATAACTTTAATCGCTCTGACAGCTACCGGCTCAGTGCGGCCTGGAAGCGTATTATTAAATAATACACATTACATTTTGATTTAAAGAATTACTAATCTACAACTCATTACTAATCATAACCAATGACTGATTACTAATCGATTATATAATTACATTACCCCCCCCCTCCGCCTCTAATCACTGCACCTGATGAGTTAAGTGATGACGTCACTCTTCTGCTCTATATAAAACCGGGAGCAAGCGAGGGCTTTACCATTCTGGCGAATTGCCCGATGATGCTGGAAGTATTTACCAGCGAAACGTCGTACTCAAACTGTAAATGTGGATTAACTCTTCAACACACCGGTGGGCTGAAGTAGTGAATTATTTGTCTTTTGTCAACGTGACACTTTTCTTTGCTGATTGGCCGTGTCGGGTGGTGGAGGGTTACGACACATTTATAAATAAACGCGATCTAACCCAAAAACCTTTATTATGAATAATATTGGTCGCGAAAGCCTACGTGTTAAACTGACTAACCTCTATGGGGAGGATACTTTTCTTAAAACCAGAAAATTGGAGAAGCTTCGCATTAAGCGGATGAAATTGATATCTTCGCTGGCGTTCCTCAAAAGGTGCAGAGATTCAAAGGTAATACCAAACGCAGTTAAAATAACACATCACATAAAGTCTTCTAAAGCTAACCAAATACTACACAAAGCTAGCGAATTATTATTAATAGAGAGAATACAGCACAATAGGAGTGATTTATCTTACATTTCGGAATCGCTAAAGCAGTTACACTTAGATATAAGCAATAGTGTATCTATGCATTATTGGAATATAATCGATAACATAACACAACAATCGGCTGATAATGTGTTTAAACTAACAAAAACTAACCAAATTAATAAATTTTCTAGACTACATAATAAACAAATCCCTACTGAAAACCAAAAATGTAAAAACAAAACTGTACTGAACTTGACCAACACTGTATTAACCGGTGACATGGTCTCTATCCTTTCTAAAGGCCTTAACTTTGCCGTTACCCCACGCACAATTCCAGTGGATGAGATAATTGCTGAGGTAGAATCAGCAGTTAGACTCCTTCCACATAATGAGGCAGAGATGACTAGACATGAGGTTGCTAAAATAATTGAGAATAGCAAAGTTCCAAAAGTAAATATTAGCTCTAACGAGGCAAAAGCCTTAAGAGAGCTGCGTGTAAATAAGGATATCCAAATCCTAGCAGCTGATAAAGGCCGCACTACTGTACTGATGTCACGAGCCGATTATGATAATAAAATTAGAAATTTACTAGAGGAAAGTACCTACATTAAAATTAAACGAGATCCAACTAATACTTTAGAACGTAAGACCACTGCAATAATTGCAAATTCATTAATCCCTAAAAATGAGCAATACCTAATTAAGCCAAGGGCCTCAAAACCACCTAGACTCTATGGGCTACCAAAGATTCATAAAATCGGCATCCCATTACGACCCATAGTCAGTACAATTGGCTCTGCCACATATCAATTAGCAAAATATATAACCAAACAAATACAGCCCTACATCGGTAAGACATCTTCATTCATAAAAAATTCAGAACATCTTGTGAATGTGATTAAAGATATTAAACTTACTCCTGATGATATTCTGGTAAGCTTTGATGTGATTTCTCTATTCACTAAGGTTCCAGTGGACGAATCGCTTAAATTACTTGATACACTAGTAAAGAATACTGGTTTACAAAAAGATATTCCGAAACTTGCTGGCCATTGCTTAAATAACACTTACTTCTTATGGAGAGGGGATTTCTTTAAACAAAAGGAAGGAGCAGCAATGGGTTCTCCTTTATCCCCTGCTATAGCAAATTTGTACATGGAAAACTTTGAAATAAGAGCACTTGCCTCGAGCACATTAAAACCATCCTTTTGGTTTAGGTATGTGGATGACACTTTGGTTGTCTGGCCACATGGTAAAGATACACTTAATGATTTTCTAAATCATCTCAATGCACAAAACCCGGCCATCCAGTTCACCATGGAAATGGAGGTGAATAATACACTCCCATTCCTAGATATTTTGCTTGGACATGGCCTAAACGGTAAAATAACACACAGCGTTTACAGAAAGCAAACGCACACTGATGCCTATCTGAATGCAGAATCACATCATCATCCAGCTCAAAAATCCTCTCTTATTAAGACGCTCGTGCATCGGGCGAAAACAGTGTCAGATGGTGAGAGTCTAGTGAGAGAGATTAAACACGTTAAAGACGCACTACGACAGAATGGCTACAATAATGCTCAAATTAACAGAGCACTGAATGCCAAATCACGATCGCAAAGCAATACTACTGAAAGCGACCAGATTGTTAAAACAATAAAAATTCCATATATCTCAGGAGTAACTGACAAATTAGCCCGCGTTTTGCAAAAGCAAAACATTACAGTAAGATTTGGTACAGTACACAAAATTCAAAAACTAGTATCTTGCACTAAAGACGCATTACCTAAACTATCAACAGAAGGTGTATATCGGATTAATTGTTCATGTGGCAGCTGCTACATTGGGCAGACGGGACGTAACATCAGCGTAAGACTAAAAGAACATCAGAGAAATATTAAATTATCTCAAACACAACTGTCGGCAGTGGCAGAACATGCTTGTCAACAAGGACACTCAATTGATTTTGACAATGTTGCAGTGGTGTGTAAAACTAATTATTACTGGCAAAGACTAATTAGAGAATCCATTGAAATTGAGAGGAACAAGAATAACTTTAATCGCTCTGACAGCTACCGGCTCAGTGCGGCCTGGAAGCGTATTATTAAATAATACACATTACATTTTGATTTAAAGAATTACTAATCTACAACTCATTACTAATCATAACCAATGACTGATTACTAATCGATTATATAATTACATTACCCCCCCCCTCCGCCTCTAATCACTGCACCTGATGAGTTAAGTGATGACGTCACTCTTCTGCTCTATATAAAACCGGGAGCAAGCGAGGGCTTTACCATTCTGGCGAATTGCCCGATGATGCTGGAAGTATTTACCAGCGAAACGTCGTACTCAAACTGTAAATGTGGATTAACTCTTCAACACACCGGTGGGCTGAAGTAGTGAATTATTTGTCTTTTGTCAACGTGACACTTTTCTTTGCTGATTGGCCGTGTCGGGTGGTGGAGGGTTACGACACATTTATAAATAAACGCGATCTAACCCAAAAACCTTTATTATGAGCCTACCTTTACCCTACCTTTAACCTTCACCCCATACAAATTACCCGATTACAGGGTAATTACTGGGGAACTACCACACATGAACAAGGTTTATAACAAGTAAATGCTAGGTAGAGCGCTCTATTCATCTAGAATACTCTCGATTATTCCAATTTTAAATGGAGGCCACGGACTGCGCCACGGAGCTTTTAGCGAGCGGTAAACAAGATATTTACCGGGTAATACTTCACGCTACCTTTACCCTACCGGGTAATTCTTCCATGCTACCTTTACTCTACCCTTTACCTTACCCCTTGGCATGTCGACACCCTCACCTTTTTACCTGGTTAAAAGGGTAAATTACCTTACCTTGCCGAGGCCTATCCAATCCTTCCAAATTAAGCCCATATTGTGTCTCCTCCTTTGGCGCCTTTCCTTTTTAGGACCCGCCCCTTATCATTTAAGCCCCGCCTGCTTTATGTTTAAGCCACGCCCCTTTCCCCAGACACGGGGGTTGGGCTGTATGTCTTATCTGTGTGCATGTTGAGCTTCTTTCGCACCATACCAACCATGCTAATCGGAGGTTCAGGGTCGGGCTCATCTGGGCGGTGGTAATTGTAGAAGTGGGAGGAGGAGCAGTGTCCGCACGCAGAAGTAGGAGGTTGTGATGAGTGACTTCACACAACTTCGCACGGACAACAGAAGTTATTGTCACCAAGCCAAACACTTTCTGGTATTGTCTTTTGCTAAATGTCTGTCACCTTTTTGCAGCAAAATTTGTCTTTACATCCTCTTTAGGGAGACATCGCAGATCTGAACCACAATGCTCTCAATGCTAAACAGAGAAGTGCTGTTAATCTTTCCTCACAGCTGAGAAGGGCTGCAATGGGAACATTACAGTGGTGGTGGGTTTTGTTGAATAATCACCGTCAAACAAACCGTGCATTATGGCCGATTCAATGATTCTGATATGAAGACTTTGCAGGTGCTTGCTTAGAATCGTCCTTCAACGAGTAGACTCAGCCGCCCCCCCCCCCCACCCCCCCTCAGTTAGGGTTCTTTCGTGCCACTTATTCTTTGGCCCCTTAAGCCGCCCTTCCTTACGCGGTGTTGATGTACGGCCTGAGCTCCAGATCGCGCATGCTTATTGTGTACACGAACATGTCCTTGCTCTTCACGGTGCAGTCCTTGCAGTAGATTCCCGCGCGGCCGAAGCACACCTTCATCGCCGCCCTGGCCGCCTCGCGGAACTGGCTGCCCGACACGAAGAGGATGAGCGGGTCCATGAAGCAGTTGCAGCTGGAGACGAGCAGCGAGACGTAGAAACCCTCCATGGCCATCTGGTTGAGGTCGCAACTGTCCGGGAAGTAGATGTGCACGGTGACGAGCAAGACGCGGCATATGTGCACCGGCACGAAGCAGAAGGCGAAGATGACGAGGATGACAATGATGAAGCAGGCCGCCCTCTTTCGCGTTCGCACCAGCATCGGATTGGTGCTCTGGCAGAGCAGTATGCGAGCCACCTTGACCTGGACGACGACCATGATGAGGAACGGGATGAGGAATCCGATGAAGACCTCCACGGTATTCCAAATCCGGAAAGTATGCATGACGCCCAATTGGTTGAAGCTCAGGCACTTTGTGGTGTTGCTCTGGTTGTAGGTGAGGTTGAAAATTAAGGGCATGCCTATCTGGGGTATAATAGCCAAGGCCCACATTGCCAGGCTTATGATCTTGGCGCGCCTCACCGAATTTTGCCGGAGTGAGCGCAAGGGCTTGCCGATCGCCTGCCACCTCTCGACGCTGATGCAGGTGAGGAAGTAGATGCTGCCGTACATGTTGGTGTAGAACAAGACCGCCATCAGGTCGCAAATGAACTCACCCAGGTGCCAGTCGTTGAAGTTCAAGTGGTAGGCGATCCTCATGGGCAGCTGGAAGACGAAGAGCAAGTCAGCAATGGCCAGGTTGAAGAGGTAAACGGTGAAGCCGCTCCACACCTTGATGTGCCACCAGGTGATCCAGATGGTGAACAGGTTGCCCAACAATCCGAAGACGAACTCCAGGATGAGCACGGGGGGCATCACTTTGGGTAGAAAGTCCTCTTGAAAGATGCAGACGTCGCCGCTGTTGTGTCTGTCGAGCGTGATGGGCTCCGCATCCGCCCGTCCGTCTGGAGACATCTTTCCCGACGTTGCGAGTTTCTGCTTCGAGCGGGAAAAGAGGGGCAGCACGCGGACGTTAACACCACGACGGCGCGACAGGGAACGCGTCTGGTTGAGAAGCGTATAGTTTTATGCCGTCGGTTATGCTAAAAGTGAAAATAAAAAAAGAACACGAAAATATAATTGCCAAGCGGTCAATTGTTCCCAAAAAAATATGTTGCAAACCACGAATTTAGTGGTTATGTATTTGTTCGTGATTGAATCTGGTGCACAAGCTATGCAATGTATCGATATGTTTTTTGTAAAATTGCAAAAACACAAATTAAAATCTGAAATTCGGCAAAAAAATCGTCAGAAAACTAAAATGTAAATCATGAACTCATCCTAAATTATATCCAACAGCATTTAGCATTGGGAGATGAAAATCAATCTTATTTTTAGGCCCCTTGTCAATTTTCTGCTTTATAGATTCGTGAAGACCTCCCCGATGCCATGTCGGTCATGGGGGTAGGGGGGGGGGTCTATAGACCAGACCAGTGGGGTTCTTAACCCGGGGTGCACCCTGCACCCCCTGGGGGTGCGAGATGCACTTTTTGGGGGGTGGGGGGGGGGTGCGAGACATGGCCAATTTTTTTTTAAAAGGTAAATCATCAAAATTCAAATTACGCACGGGCACGTAAGTTGCAACTTACTTTGCTTCATGAAACCTCTATCTATTTATTAACATTCTACATTATATCAAAGGGGTGCAAAGCTGCAGTAAAGGGTGAATAAACCCACTGGACCAGACTTTACCACGCTGAGCACTGCAGGAGATTGAATGAATGTGCGTGCGACCGGGCCGCTCCTGATGACGATCGCTTGTGTTGTGATCGAAACGTTGTAGTTTTTGGTTTCTTTTATTTGTATTAATTTGAACCTATCTACGTGACTTTACCGAAAGACCCAAAGAATATGAATTCCTGCGGTCACGAAAGCTTTAAGTCAAGAATCACTAGATCGTTATTTAAAATTAGCGTCATTTCCCGTCGTCGTAAATAAGCTAATGCAGTGTAAGAGACAACTACAAGCCATATCACCCAATAATCGTCGTATTGTATAATATATAACTAGTGTAATTGCCCGTCATATGACAGGTTAATACAAAATCTATTTATTGAAAAAGACTAAACATAATTAAGATTGTATTGAATTTATTTCATAAATTATTTCTCTATGTACGTCACATTTTGTGTAAATTGTCTTTCATGGATTTTGTTATTTATTGACTGAATATCCACCCATTGTTACGAACAGCGTACAGAGTGTCAGGCGCTCAGCACAGATCACCAATACTACGTGAATACAGCTGTTTTTTTTTGCATATTATTGAATGACATTGTGTTTTTAGGTGTTGCGGAATGTTTTTGGTGTTTTTAATTCGATCACGATGTTAATTTGGCATAAATCAAGAACAAAATAAGAAAAATGAATATCCTACTTTAAAAAAAGTTACTCTGCCCGGGGTGATGCGTATACGTGCAGCATTTTCATTGTTCAAGTTGTATGTATGTAGTGTATAATATACCGTATATAAAGATTGATCACTCAAAATCAAGCGCAGCTAATTTGTTTTGTCACACGCACGTGACGCTGCCGTATCGCCGGATTGGTTACAGCCTTTGGGGCGGTTTTGCCGGATCGGCCCCCTGGATAATGTTGGAGGCAGCCGGATAATCGATAATCGCGCAACCAGGAGGATTATAATTGACGACCGAATGTAAATCCACATCGCAGCAAAGCATCGCTTCCCTCATGCGACAACTTTGGCAGGAAACCTCTGGTTGAAAGCTTTCGTGACTGCAGGGATTCATATTCGTGGCTCTTTCGGTAAAGTCACGAAGAAGGGAATAATATTACTGTCATAATATTACTACTCCTACTGATAATCATCATCATCATCATCTTCTCTCAAGCGTTCACCGGGGCATCGCTGCTTTGCTGTTACTGCTGCTGCTGGCCACTTGATGAGTTGAATTCACCTGCTTGAAGAATTTAAACGCTTCAACAACGCAGAGGGCAACACCGGACAACGGGCGCGTCGTCAATACTAAGCAAGCAGTGATGAACAATTTCGAGTGAAATAATAATAATTTTAATTCATAAAAAGCCCCTAAACAATCGTTCCCAGGGAGGAGACGCGCGCATCAAGCCCGTTTGACGGTTCTGGTGCGGGCTGATGGTTACGCACCGCCTGGCGCCTTCGAAGAATGTCAAAGCCAGGAGGAGTAGGTGGGATGATGTTTGGGTGTCGAATGAGGTGGCTTATTTGCCCGAATGTGTCAATAATGCACTCGTGTATCGAAATAAAATAAAAAGCGAGTCAACAAATCCATCAACAACATTTCCGAAAGCAAAACCACTTGTGCCTCACTGCCAACGCAAGCATCGCCATATAATTTGTTTTTTTTTGTATCATCATGATTAATATCAATAAGAATATTCTTGGTTCTTTCGGTAAAGTCACGTAGAAGGGAAACAATTAAATAAATAAAAACATAAAACAATCAAATTATCACGACGTTTCGACTGCAACACAAGCAATCGTCATCAGGTGTGAAAACCACAGCAAGAAAATTTGAAAAAAGTGGCGTGAGAATATTATTGTTTTATATTTTTTATCATTTTATTGTTTCCCTTCTACGTGACTTTACCGAAAGAACCAAGAATATGAATCCCTGCAAGTCACGAAAGCTTTAAATCAACACCAATAATAGCAACAATTCCCTACCAGTGATTGAGCAAGGCTGGACTTCCAATCTTCCGCAGGAACCCGAGGCACGCGCGACCCCGCCAGCCACAGCTCGAGTCGGTCCGTCTGCTGGTTCAGTAAGCGCCGAGTTGCACCGTGCTGGTGGTGGTGGTGGTGGCGGTGTGCGAACGCACTGCCAGAGTGCCTCGGCATAGAGTTCGCCCATGATTGCAGGTCCAAAGGTCAACGTCGCTGAGATTTATGGGGGGGGGGGGTGGGGAGTGGGTGGTGTTTTTATTAATCGGCATCGGGCGATTCGCTTCGTGCATCTGCGGATGCTGTTCGTTGTCGCGTCGTACGAAATAAACGAAACAAAGTGTGCCGTGTAAAACCCGGGCGCTGCACGAGAGGCGTTGAACAATCCCGCGGGCTTGCAGAGTTCGTGGATGTGTAAGCAACGATTGGAGGGAGAGGGCAGGGGTGGAGGTAGAGGGGAGGGAGGCAGTTTGGTTGCTGTTTGGACGAGTTGGGGAGATATTTTTTTTTAAATGACTGCTCTATGCTGGCAAGGAGATGAAGTAAAAATTAATAAATCAAGACCTTGATCCGTATGTCTCAAACACCTCTAGGGTATTTCCCGACAAGGTAGAATGCTGAAATTTGGTACACATGTTTCTTTTAGGACACACACACAGGAAAAATCATAAATTTTTCATCTTAAGGCCACCAAATCTCGATTTTAAGTACCCCATAAACATGTTTGTGCGCGGTGTCATTCAGAAACCGTTCAAAATATAACATTGCGGGTTTTTTTTTTCGTTTGATAGAGCGTTACACAGCAAAGAAAATTCATGCGAGAACCATTCTTCTACCCTTTTACTGTTTTTGAGATATTTCGGATTCAATCGGGTTTGAAGGGAAAAAAACGCATTTCATGATGTTCAAATCTGAATATTTCGAAAACGGTAAAATATCTGGAGAGTCCCCTCAGACTATTAAGTTAATATTTTTTTGTTCTTTCTAATAAAAAAAGAACGGGATCTTTAAATGGATCGGTTTCTGATGGGTACGTCTTTAAATATGAGAAATTGAATCAAGTCGTCAACAATTTTTGTGGGTTTTTTTGCTGAAAAATAAAATTGTTTGGAGTTGTTGTTCATGTCTGATCGTAAATAAAAATTGTACGTAAAAATCATATCAGGTTAATTATTATATTTGTAGTGAGTTCAAGTGAGTCGCAGACGTTATTCTTTAGAGGCAACACATTTATTGTAACACGTATATACAAAGGGGTAACTGCCCCTTTACCAGATACAGTTAGCTGGGTGGTGACCACCCAGCTAACTACACTATACGTAGGAGTTACAGCTACGAAGGGTCGGACCCTCGCTCAGGTCCCCGGCCACGTGTTGATGCCTCGTAGGACGAAGAGCTTCCAGCTTGTAGACGTGGAGCTTCCAGCTTGTAGAACTAAGAGACCCCGGTCCCCTTCAGGGACCCACCTCATATCCTCCCGGGTCGGGGCCAGCTCCGCCCAGGCCCCGCCCGTCTTCTCGAGCCTTCTAGCTCCCTCTCGATCCCTCTCGAGAGCTCTCCCCGGACACGTGGTCACCCCCCAGCCCCCCCACCTGGGGCCCTCTCTGTGGACACTCCGGATCACGTGTCTACGGGGTCAACCAGAGTGCCATGGCCCGGGGCAACTCTGTCCCTGGGCTGACACTCTCCCACTGCCCCTGGTGGGAGCCCGCACTGCACGTCGTGCGTGGTGCCCGCGCTATCCCAGCACTCACCAAGCCCCGCTAGGGCTGGTACTACACCCGCCCACGGGGTGTACGCGTTGACGGTGCATCGCACGCCGTGCTGTGCTAAAGCCGGCATCACACAGCAACCCACGCGGTGCTGTCCGCGACGGAAGTACATCGCACGCCACGGCCCTCCCGGGCCGGCACGATACAGTGACATCTCCGCACTACGTATTTATTGAAAACTTTTGCCTGCCGAAGACAGGCTTCATGAACGAGTTTGTAATAATTGCACATGGAAGAATACAACCAGGTGATGCAGGCAGTGATGAGAAGGAAACTGGCACTATTTGGACACATACAGTATGCAGGATGGACAAAGGGCAGGAACATTTCAAAGTGTGGTGTTGTTCGGTAAAAATGCAAGGAGACAGAAAAGAGAGGAAAGT